AGATGAGAGAGAGCAGCACAGAAACAAATCATAATCTTAACACATACTCAAACTCCACAGTCTTAAAGTTTCATTGCAAGCTGGAAAGGAAAAGCCTACCCCAGGGCAGTGGCAGGTAATTGTGCAAGGAGGGAGATTCTCCAAGGCTCAGAACAGAAATTACATATAAATCGGTATAAGTGATCAGAAGCCAGTTTAAATCTGCAAGTGGCTCAGGACTACATTATGAGACGTGTTGAGCAGTTTAAGCAACAGTTAAGGGCAATCTGCATCTCTTTGGATGCTCTCCTAGCTTCAACTGCTCTCAGGTCCAGATCACTGGCGGCTGGACCCGATGATCTGCAAGGTCCCTTCCAGCCCCTCACAATCTATGAAAGAATGGATTTAGATTCTTGCTGCCTGTTCACTTTGTGAATAACAAAAAATGGAAATATTTTTGTTAACTTTCTGAATATTTATTTTCAGTGTCCATTCACTGAAGCCTGTTGTCACTGCCTAAGAAAGAGAAACCACACTGCTGCTACTACACTCTGGAAACGTTATTGTTACCTGAGTTTACTGGTGGGTCGTTACTCCTGGCTAAGGAGTAAGGGTTAGGGTCCCAATATTCGCTCACTATGTCAGCAACTAAACAGTTGGCCTCAGTCGAAGCAGGATCAGGCTAATTGCTAACAGTCCCAACAATATTCGTTGGAAATCATCCCTGGTGTAATTGATACTTCCTTTGGAATACAGAAAAGAGACTGCCCTGACTGCCACCTTCCTTCACCAAAGTACACCACATCCTAAGCTGCATGTCAAAGCATAGTAACTATTAGCTGTCCTCTCTCTCTGCTTTGACACAGCTTGTCAGGGAGCAGTCCAAACACTTTTGTAAGGGAAGGGATCACCACGCACAGCTGCTCAGGACCGTTTTGATTGGCCAGTATTCCATTGCAGCAGCAATATTGATTCCATTACATAGAAAAACGTGGTTTCCTCAAAACTAAACTTTGAATTTTACTTCCCTTTTTCCCCCAAGGAAAAAAAAAAGAGTAGGGGATGGTTTTTGTTTTAAAGTAAGAGAAGGTAGACATTTTTTAGATTTCTAACATTTCAGTTGTTTGTTGAAATATTGTGTATCAACATTTTTTTCAAAATACAAAAATAAACATGTTCTGAAACGTTATAATTGGAACTCGCTTTTAAAAGAAAAAAATATTATTTTAACCAGCTCTGGTAATTCATATTTCAGCAAGTGTTGCTTGTGGTTCATCCTGTTTTAAGTAGTTCAGTGGTGCTTTCTATATTTTAGACAACTAAAATTACTGATTTGTATAAAATTGCATTTATATAAATAAATGAGAGTAGATGCAATTTTATACAATTCAGTAATTTTAGTTGTCTAAAATATAGAAAACTCCACTGAACTACTTAAAACAGTATGAACCACAAGCAACACTTGCTGAAATATGAATTACCAGAGCTGGTTAAAATAATATTTTTTTCTTTTAAAAGCGAGTTCCAATTATAACATTTCAGAACATGTTTATTTGCTTCCAATTAATATAATTTCTCTAAACAAAACCGCCTTTCTTTTTTCTGATTTTATGTTCTTTTACTTTCCCCCTTTAACATCTTGTGACTTAATTCTTCATTACTTAGTAATTATTCAGTAATTTTAGTTGTCTAAAATATAGAAAGCAGCACTGAACTACTTAAAAGAGGATGAAACATATTTGGAGAACTGTGCAAGGTCCAGGTGCTCTCTAAGTCATGAAGAATTAAGTCATAAGACGTTAAAGGGGGAAAGTAAAAGAACATAAAATCAGAAAAAAGAGAGGCGGTTTTGTTTAGAGAAATGATATTAATTAGCTAATAAAGCACTGGGATTTATATATTTTAATTTCAACCCAACCACTTCCTGTGTTTATCTTGTGAAAATCATTTACTTTCTTTTCTTTCTTCCCACCCTTTGTCTTCCTTTTCCATATAGTTCCTAAGGTCTTTGCCATATAGACTGTCTCCGACTATATGTTTAGTACTTAGTGCCACAAGGACCTGATGTCAGCAGAAGGGGGAGAGCAGCATGAGACCTGGCTCTCTGGATGTTACTATACTATAAAGAAGAATGGGAGAAATAAATCAAGTACAACATTTTAATAATGATAATAGTACATTGCATTACTCTTCAATGAAGATGCTGGCTATAGAATGGACTTCTTATGGGTCGTTATTGCAAAAGATTAATTCCCTTGGCATGCCCATGGGCCAGTACTCCATTATAGTAGCAGTTACTGTTAGCGATCCTAGTACCTGCTCTTGGACACCTACAGATGTTTTACAAATATTTATGGAACAAGCACCTGAACTGTGAAGTAGGTAAATATTTTAAGGCAGCAGAATACGAAGCAGAGATGCCTGGGATAGTTAAACCTTGAAATCCTTATGTGTGTGCCCTCTTGGCATAGTTACATTGATATCAAGGGAGTCAAGCCAGAAAATGCAAGATAAGGATCTGAACTTATTTCCTCTGGCAAAGTTGTGCTCCCCATGATGCATCTGTGGAAGAGAGAAAAGTCTGATCCTCTCTCCATCTCATGTGGGTGAGTAGGGAATACACAAGAAACTTGCACACTCATAAGGAGGGGAATTAAATAAGTTGGTGATGTCTGTGAAAATATGCTCTGGAGTTTAAAGCAAGTCAATGGTTGCCTGAGAGCTGTTACACTAATATGCCAACTGGTGTCCTCTAGAGGTAAGATCAAGAGCAGCTGCATTTGGAACTAAAGAACCAGGCCTGTAAAAAAGACAGTCATATAATTTATAAATAGAGCAATGAAGATGGCTTGTCACACCATACTCACCAATGTATTACACTTGTAGAACTTGGGTCAAAGAACTGTACCACAAGATCACACAGCAAGTCGGTTTCAGATCTGTCAAAACAACGCTGGTGTGCAGAGACATTCAATCTAAGCACTAAACTAGATTTTTTTTTTTTTTTTTTTTACACACAATGTAAAAGAAATAAATCGAATAAAAGAACATGGGTAATTAGAAAAAAAACAGGACAGGGATTTAAATGAGTGAATAGTCACTCATGGTTCGATGGGAAGGGAGATACAAAAAAGATAGAACTAAAGTTTTTGTCTGTGTCAACAATAATTCCGTGGACGCGTCTGCCTGAAACAGTTTCATGATGAAAATAGATTTACGTTTTTATTCGTTTTGATGATTTTGCACTGCTTGGCACTTTGCTTTGCCTAGAGGAAGGAAATTCAGTCAGTTCACTTCACTTTTGTTTCTGGTTAACTTCTGGTTTCTGTTTTCCACTTAGATAATGCAACACTCAGGTCCCAAATTCTGCAGAGGGATGCTGGGCCTAAACATATTTATATTTCCAAAGAAATATGACGGAAGTCACAGAGCTGCAAGTTCAGAGGAGCTACATTTAGAGCGGAGGCTAAAGAGGACAGGAATAAGCAAAATCTCCAGCATCCGGTTGGCCTCCAGTGTAAGTCCCTGATTTACTTGGGCAGTTAAAATTGTGCTAGGGGCCCAGGATCTCCAGAGAGCAGTTTTCTGGGTGTGACCTCTATGATGGAGGAACCAATAGTATACCCCAGTCCCACTCCTGCATGCCAGCCTCAGACCCTCATATTTCATGGAATATGTGCTGCATAATAACGTGAAAAAAGACTTCATGCTTTGAAGAATCCTAATTATTAAGGGAACACTTTACAGAAATGTGACACTAGCAATGAGGACTCTGACCATATGAATGCAGCCTAGCATTCCTGGTGCCTCCTCTAAATTTTTCTCTAACTAATTGTGCTCCTCATTCAGATTCCATGCAGGTTGTTACCTTTCTTTTTAATAAGTTTATATTTCTTTTATGAAACCATTTCCTGACTTTTTGGTGTCAGAAGGTACACAATCTAGCATAAGATCTTGACTTTTTTTTTTTTTTTTTACCAAGCCATTGTTCTTATTACACTCCCTGGTCCTTCAGATATGTTACTCTGAACCAGTCTCTGACTTTTCACTGTGCAGATTTGCATCCAGTTTTGTTATGTTCATTCTGTTGGGCAGCATCCTGTTGGTCCTGTGTCTTGCTCATGTATCTTGTTCCTTCTTCACACCTCCTGTGTTAGGTCAGCTAATCAGAGAGGACTTCCTACATTCTCCTGGTTCTGGCTTTGTCTCTGTCTCTTAGGGTGTGACAGTTATCTGCCACTATTTTACAGTTGTCTTTGGTTTCATCTCCACCCTTGTCCTGAGTCTATAGCTACCTCATGGGATGTATTAAACTCCTACTTGGACCTTTGCTCTGTAATTGCTTGTGGGACTATTTGAGTGTTGGGTCCAGATCTACTAACATGTCCAAACTAGTCTCAGAGCCTTAGTTCCTTTGTGGTAGCTTGTTGGCTGCAAACCTTATTGTATTTTTTTTTGCTTCTTCAATATATGGTCTTTTTTCCCCCATCCTCTGGGGTGCAGCAGATTAATCTTCTTTGGAGTAGTGTTGACTCTCCAACCATAGGGTGTTATGGTTTAGTACAGTGGTTCCCAAACTTTTTTACACTCAAAGCTGTCATTGTTAGACACCAGGCATTCCTCAGAAAAGTGCCAGCCCTTAGCTTTCTCTGAGGTTTTGATTATGGAAAAACAATAGAGAAATTCCTTTGTTACAAAGAACTCAGGAAGACCATAACAAGTTAGAATGTATCTGACAGTACAGATTCCTACTTGAAATCTCTGTTTATTTTGTGAATCATGTGCAGGAGTTTTCAACCTAATATGCCACAGCACCCCAACTGAGAATTTCTGGTGTAATACCTAGGAGGAGGTTTCTCTGGGCTTGTCTCAGGCATGCCTCCAGCTCCATGAGTGAAACCTGTATTAGTTTCATGACATCAGATCTAAAATCTGTTGGGATTGCTATTCAGTCTTTTGTATGCAAAATCCTATCTTGGACACACAGCTCATTAGGGCTATGTGAAGGTTTGGTCCCTGATCTGATTCAGTGGAGATTTGGCCTGATTCGGTGGCCAAATCTCCGAATCCTTTAATCTCTCTGAATTGAATCAGAACCCATCAAATCGATTTGGAGAGATTTGGAGATTCAGACATAAACATAGCTTTAAATGTTTTTTCTACATACCTCTAGATACCAGGGGCTCATAAATGCTACGATGCTGGGGCACATGGAGTGTCTCACAGAAGCAGTGGGGGGGCTCCCCAGCGTGCTCGGCAGCAGACCTGGAAGTGGACCAGAAGCACTTCTGGTCCACTTCTGGGTTTGCTGGGGAGTGCACAGGGAGCCCCCCCGCACCCCGACCAGCTCAGTGACTGGTGCCTCCTGGGTCTGGGGGGGCACCCAGGGTCCCCTTGTGGCCAATTGCCAAGCCGGGGGGGGGGGGGGGGGCAGTGCATTCCCCAGCAGACTTGGAAGTGGACTGGAATCCAGGTTCATTGCCGAGTATGTGGAGGGCTCCCCACACTCCTGTGGGACCCTCCATGCACTCCAGCATTGCAGTGATCATGAGCTGTGCTGGTACCTCGAGATACGTAGAAAAAACTTTTAAAGCTGTGTCTATGTCCAAATTGCTGATTTTCCGAATCAGCATGAAATCTTCAGATTTGGATTCAGACACATTGAATCAGGGACAGTGATCCAAATCAACGAATCAAATCACTGTCCCTGAT